ATGGGGGGCCGGTTTTAGTTATTAATTAAAGGGCCCATTAGTTGTTTCTTGTTTAGCAAGTTGTTAACCCTAATTTATATCTTATAAATACCCAATCATGTAACTATAATCTGTGAGCACCTAATAAAAGATAAACCCTAGTTGCAACCCGTGGAGTAGGTTACTGACCGAACCACGTTAAATCTCGTGTTCTTATTTTCCTGCTATTTGTGTGTGTGTTTATTCGCTTCCGCTTGACCGCCTCTGATCTCTGATTCCTAACAGGTCTTCGGTCCACCTATTTTACAATTTCAGGTTTCGGTCCGGTCCGGTCCAAACCCGAATATCATTCGGTCCAGACCTAAAAGACCAAGACCATTAATTTCCCTATTTTCCGTTCTTTACTTCCGTCTTCCAAGTTCCAATCGGTACACCACTCCACCTAATTCCTTAATTCCTCTGCCTATTCTATCTTCCTTTTCCCCAAAAAATTTCCACCTCTCCATGATTCCAACTCCAAATCTTCAATTGCAATTGACCTGACCGTCCGTTCACAAGCCGCAAGACCGCAACCCCAGTTCCCAGATCTCCGAGCTGCAATCGCCGGCGACTCTAGGCCTCAAGGTGCTTCGCCAATCGCCGGTCTATCAAGTATCAACAGCGAAGATTTGAGATTTTGGGTAATTATCCATTTACCTTTCACTTGATTTAATTTCCATCTTTCAAGTTTCAAAATTGATTTCACATCTATATTAATTTTATATTTTTATGATTTTATCCATATATGAAATTATTAAATTGTAGTACTTTAAATTTTTATGGGTAAAAGCTTGGCATGGCTCCATGTGGTCAGTGGTTTACTGGTTTTCATAGGTTATAGCTTGGGATGTTCTTTATTTATCCACATTAAAATCAACTGAAGTACTGGACATTTATGCAACTTTTGGATGTAGTGTTGATTGACCAAATTGTTGGAAGTTAGTTTTTAATTCTAAGTTTCTAACATTGTATCTTATGACCAAATTGGTTGCATTGTGTATGTTTTTGGATTAATGGGCTCTAAATTGTGAAGTCATGATGTAGTACATTTTTTTCACTAGAATTGAAATTTGAAATTTTTAAACTTGGATTTGGTCTATTCGGTCTGAACCGGTTTGGTCCAATTAGTTTCGGTCCGGTCCGGTCTAAAACCGACATCATTTAGGTCCGGTCTTCGGTCTGGATTTTGGCGCATTTCGGTCTTTGGTCCGGTCCGGTTCGGTCCGGTTTTAGACCGATGAACACCCCTAGCTGCGTCACCCAATGCTCTTTCTTTTTGTTCAATTGTTTTCCCTTTTTAACAACCACTTTTGGGTAGTCTTCTGCTCTTGGGATGTGAACGAATTCTCATCCGAGCCGTTTACTTCAATTTTCAGGTAATGCTTCGGTTCCTCGATCTCTGAAGTAATTAAGAACATAATTTCATACATATTTCATTGGTATACTGTGTAATTTTCCTCTAAAAAATGAATTGGAGTTTTGTTAGATCAATTTTCTGACATGTAAACTGTAACCATTCCATTTTACATTGACCAGTCTAATTTTTCAGATTGTTTAATTTTTTTACTTCTCCCTAATTGTTGTGTTTAATTTTGTAAGTTTAGGCCGAATTGGTGGAAATCAATAGGTAGATGATGATAGTTGACTAAGAACCGTCTATATTTCCTTTCAAACTTTGTTAATTAGGAAAGAAGGGACATGACTCGAGATTACTAAACAGGTTTTGTATTCATTTTTAATATTCATGCATGTGAGTTAGACTTACTTTTGATTATATAATGTGCACTGAATAGAAGAATAGGGGAATGAATGATTTTGGAGACCCTGAATCTATGTTTCATAATCGGATCGTGAAGGATCTGTAAAAAATTGTAGACTGCCAGGATTTCCATTTCAATCTATGGTTGCGGGATTACTTGGACTTTTGAAATTTTTTTTGTATGAAATTTGGGAAAGCTCTTGCCTACCCATACATTTGGGACCTGTATGGTGTTTCTCAAGGAAAAACAAATCTAAAGTACTTTGTTTTTCAAAATGTCATCCTCACAAACACTTGGCCCTATGGTTTTAGAGTGTGTGTTTAATAGGTGCAACAAAAATTGTGCAGCATGCAGCAGCTCACCTGAGTTACTCACCAAGTTCTTGAAAAGACTGCAAGTGTGTGTGTGTGTGTGTGTCTGATTGAGTATCAACATGTACTGTGAAGTAGTAGTGGGCAGTGTAGTGGACACAGGTAGCTGACTTAACTTTTAGCTATTGAAAAGGTTATGTTTGGACATAGTGAAATTTGCATTAAATAGTATTAAGATATGTCTTTACCCATTACCGTGTTCAAAACTTTTTATTCCCTAAACTGATATAAATGGTATTTGCACCAATTATTAGTAATAATTGATGTAAAAAAAGTGGTATATGAAATTTGACTGCCCCATTTGCATCGGTTTCAAATAAACCGATGTAAATGAGGCAGTTGATTTGCTCTTTTTTTGTAGTAGTGTTAGTTTACACGGCACAAACACAAGGCACACCCCAGTAGAATATTTAGGAGGATTAGAGAGTTAATTATGGCAAAGCCTAGTTAAGTTAAGTAAAGAATGAGCATAAGTAAATGGCCTTTCGGGTTGGGGTCCAAACCATTAATAATATGTTTGGGCCAATACCTAAATAAATTAATAAATACAAGTAATATTACTACTATCTGCAAGGGGGTGTTTGTTTTTTCTGCAGGAAAAGGTCTGCAGTCTGCGGACCACTACTGTAGACATCTGCAGGAGAAGTGGTGGACCAAAGGTCTGCGGTCTGCAAGAAAAAGACTGTTTGTTTTTTATGTCTGTAGACTGCTATATAAATTAATGGTGGTAGTGTACGGTGGTGGTGTATGGACGATTGTGGTGGTGGTGGAGGGTGGTGGTGAAGGGTGGTGGTGGACAGTGGTGGTGGTGGTGGCGGTGGACAACGATGGTGATGGACGGTGGTGGACAGTGGTAGTGGTGGACCCACCGCCACCACCACCTGCTGGGTGGTGATGGACGGTGACGGTGACGGTGATGGTGGACGGTGGTAGTGGTGGACGGTGGCGGTGGACGACGGTGGCGGTGATGGTGGACGGTGGTGATGGTGGTGGACGGTGGTGGTGGTGAAGAGAAGTAGAAGAAAAAAAATGGAGAAGATGTTAGAAGACATAGGTTAATGTCTTCTCCAAGAAGATGACAGGAAGACCTTTTTGAGTGAAATGTCATCCAAAAAACAAACAATCTGCAGAGCTCAGCATCTGCGCGCGTCTGCGCTGTGCAGACAAAAGAGGCCAGAAGCTCTTCTGGCCAAAAAACAAACACCCCCAAGTGGCGTGAAAAAGTGTAGCCCAAAATGTCGTCATAACTTGGATAAAGTTTTTATACATATTAATCAAAAAATTGATGGGACCTCGGAGTATATTTTGAAAAACTGAGGGTACCTGATAGTAATTTTCTCGGCTGCTAGGTACCCTCAGTTTTGTGATAATAATTTTTAGATCCCATCATTTTTGAAAATATACTCTGAGGTATCTTAAAATTTCTGAAAACTTACTCCAGGGTGACATTTCGTTAATCTACCATTACTCTGTCATCTTCTTCATCTTCCTCTTCCTTTTTCTCATCTTCTTCGACCTTCGAAATTTACATTAAATAGTATTAAGATATGTCTTTTCCCATTACCGTGTTCAAAACTTTTTATTCCCTAAACTAATATAAATGGTATTTGCACCAATTATTAGTAATAATCGATGCAAAAAAAGTGGTAGGGGTACATCAAAGGTTGGTGTATCCCATTTGTCCCCCACCCCCTCCATAACCACTAATTTGTTTTTTATTTTTATTTACTTATTTTTTTTTAAATTTTCTTGCCTATTTGAGTGGTAATAGAGGGGGTGGGGGACAAATGGGGTACACCTTTGGTGTACCTCTAGCATTTTCCAATTTCCATTGCTCTCTAGATTTTATATGGGATATGCTAGGGGTACACCAAAGGTGTACCCAAATGTACACCACCCTCCTTTTAACCATTCATTTTATTTTATTTTTATTTTTTATTTTTTTTGAATTTTTCTTGCCATTTTTGTGTGGTGATGGAGAGGGTGGGGGATGTTTGGGGTACACTTTTGGTGTACCCCTAGCATTTTCCAAAGTGCGATGCAATGAAGAGTTCTATGGCCTTCAATGAATCAGTGGTGGGCGAAAAAGAGAAGAACGGAAAGAAGATAATTATTGAGTGGTGGTGGGCAAAGAAGAACTAGAAGAAATTTCTTGGAAAGAGGGAATATCTAATTCAACACGATTTAAAACAATAAATATTTGCACTAAACAATAGCTTGAATAAAGTTTACAACAAAAGAAATAAGAATGCATACCATCCAATACATTTGAGAGTTTGATGGGTAGAATGATGACCTGTTCTTTTGACAAATAAGCATACATGTGTCTCTCCTTCCGCTTAATTAACGGAAGCTTCCCATACACTATTTCACAGCCGCGGTCAAATCCGTTTCTTCCTGGAAATCTTCTTCTCGATGTAAAGGACGCGATCCAAGAGGAAAGAATCCGGAAAATCTACGCTCACCTTCTCTTATTCGCAGAAGGAAAGAGTTCAATTTCTCTGGTCTTCTCCACCTAAAAGGAAACGTTTGAATTTGGAAGATCTGAGCTCTATATTCCGTCTTCTCTACTCCTAATTCCTTTACTTTGATTGATTTTGGTAAGTCAATTCTGCATCTTTGCATCTAGGTTGGGATTAAATATCATTTCTAGGATAGAATGTTGCATGTCGATTCCAATTACATATAAATACACACAATTTGATTAGTTTTTTGTTGGTGTTATGCATTTCTCCTAATTGCCAACCTGTTGTGAATGAAAAATTTGAGATTTTAACCTAGATTTTATTCTCCAAATAGAGAATGAATATTCATGTGGAAAATACTAATTTCAGTATCTTTTTGTAGCAGGAGACCGGCAAATCAGTTTGCCCAATTCACACTATTGCAGATATTCTTAGCCATTTTCCCTATACAAGTGCATCTACTCATCCAGGTTGTTGCTTTATTTTTTTAAAAAAAAATGTATTTTAATCTTTTTTTGTTTCATCTTTATGAAATATTCATATTTTGTTAAATGTCAAACTTTTACATATTTTTAATTACGGAGTTTAATTATATTTTATAAATTTTCATAAATAAAATATTATCATTACATACATGTTCATTAGAATATAAGACATTAATGTATAAAAAATTAAAACTCCATAACTGATAATCCTTAGGAGTTATAATTCTGACTGTGATTGTAATCAAAACTTCAAGTATAGTCATGCAAGGTCATCAAAATGAGAGATGGATTTTGGCAAAAGATGCAAGAGTACGACGAAAAGATACACGTCAACAAAAAATGGAACACAAAGGTGTTTTTAAACATAAGTTATTATATTGTAAGTATTTTAAAGATGTGTATTGTTTAAAGTTAGTGAATACAAACTTTATAATATTCATTTAATTATTTCAAATTATAATTGCAGATGGGATGTGGTCATCAACACACATAACAATGTCACAATCCACATCAACGACGAAAAGAAACCCGTTACGAGATTTGACGTAAAATGAACAACTTTTTATATTTTTTTATTACAAAGATATGGGACAAGAACGTAAAATACAAAGTAGTCATGGGCTCATATTGGAAAATTTGATTATACACTATTAGCATCGCATCAAATAGAATCATCAGTTAGAAGTTATTCAAGTACAAAAAAAGTACAATGATCTATCATCTATTTCACGTGCCATTAATTTCAACCAAGGTAATAAATAACAATATAATGGTCAATATTTTTTTACTATTTTAAAATGAATACCTCCAATATATTTATTAATCTAAGCTCTCTATTTTGTGGTTTGTGAGTTCATTGCTGCTCATTGATAATTTAAAAAAACAGATGGTGTGCACTAAATTAGCTAAAGTTGTTACCTTATTGCTCTTTTTTTGGTCAATATTAGCAGCGACTAGGAATTATATCAATTCTTCCTAGGAGTTGTATTTTTGTTGTTGGATTGCTGAATTTAGATGCAACAATCTGTCCTCAAATCTTGGTCTCTATTTTTTGGTTGGTGATGAACTTGGAAGATGTACACGTAGCTGCTTTTTGATGCATCTTCAATTTGCAATTTGTAATCCTAAGGTTGTTTTTGCTTTGTTTGGCTTTTGATTCGCATCTTTGACTTAAGTCTAGATTTTGGATTTTAATTTTTGGTGTTTTCATCATAGGAATTTTGGTGTACAATTTCATTTTAGTTTTGGGTTTTTTCGAGGGTATTCGACGGAATCTTTCCCTCTTGGTCTCTATTTTTTGGTTGGTGATGAACGTGGAAGATGTACATGTTGCTGCTTTTTGATGCAGCTTCAATTTGCAATCTGTACTCCCAAGGCTGTTTTTGCTTTGTTTGGCTTTTGATTGGCATCTTTGACTTTAGTCTAGATTTTGAATTTTAATCTTTGGTGGTGTCATCATAGAAGTTTTGGTGCACAGTTTCGTTTTAGTTTTGGGTTTTTTTCAAAGGGGTTCGACTGGATCTTTCCCTCTTTTTTCATTTCAATGACCTTTCGTTGGGTCCTCCCCTCTTATCCTTTTTTTTGAATAATTTAAAAAGTAAAATTAAATAAATGGCAAGTGACTGCCTAAATCAATGCTATGAATGTCACTTCCCATCCAAAAAATCTTATTTCCTTTTTTTAACTCTCATGCATCATAGTGAGTAATTGAGTATGTATTTATCTCTAGCTTTGGATTTAACTCTAACAGATTAGCATTTTTATAGGTTGAATGTAAACTTCACATGTTTAACGCAAAGTTTTTATGTTATACAAACTTTGACCATTTACACCTTCCTCTTTCGTTTTTACAGGTTCAATCTAAAGTTTTATTTAGCTTTCATCAATTTGAATAATATGGATGTCATCCCAATTATGTTTCATAGTATCGACTATGCCAGTGGTTTGTACTCAAAAAGGTCTGTTCCCTAATATGTGAGTATATCTTGATGTATTTCAAGTGTTGTTGGCTATTTTTATTATTTTACTATCAGAATTTATCACACTTTTTTTGAATTTACTATTAACATGACTCCTTTAATCATCCATTGTCCTACGAATCGTAAAAATAGTGAGATGAAAAGAATAATTTATAAACTATAGTTATGAACATAACAGTTGTAATAATAATAATAATAATCATCATCATCATCATCATCATATTAAAAATATATCGTTTTTAGAGTAATTGGTTGAGGAGTAGAAAGAGTTTGAAGAAAATCAGAATAGTTGGTAGGAACTAGAAGGAATTGGAAAAAACTGGAAGGAACTGGAAGAAACTGGAATAAACTGGAAGAACTGGAAGAAACTGGAAGTTAAGAGTTTAAGCCCTAAAGAACATGCTCTTAATGAATAATGTTATACCAATTTATTTTTTTCCAATCAATCGAATCATATTTGGTATAAAAATTTTCATTACAAAATGTTGATTGCTATATTATTTATTCTAAGGAGTAGTTTGATGTTAATGTCCACAATATTAAAAAATCGTGTTAGAAGTCTATTTTCTTTAATATAAAAAATATTATATGGAAAAATATTTATTCAAAAGACAAAAATTTCGTTTGACCCCGTGCATGGCACGGGTTGAAATACTAGTATATACCTAAATCAAGACCGTATGTTCTCCAACATTTCACATGACCTTAATCATGTACCAAAGCATATTGTTCATCACGTTAGAGAATGTAATGGCTTTAAGTCGAAGGACTTATTACACCAATGTCATGATGAGAATGATAATAACACATATTGTAAACCCATGTAGCACTCTCATTTTGGGTCAATCCAGTATGTTATTATCTCTATAACATGTATCTATGTGTAGGATTGATATCAAATATATTCATAACGCATGAGATTCAGTCATCTCAATCTACACATTCTAGTCTCAACGTATTAATGACGTCCTTACTATCATTGATACTTGACTAGGGATATTTAAGACTTCAACTCTGATATGAGATTATAGCCTCACATACAGATCACAATCTGATAGAATCTCAGAGATATAAGTAACTTATAAGTCAAGTTATATCAAAGAAACGTATTATCACATGGCTTAGAAGTTAAAAATAACTTATAAGTTGTTTTGACTAGATTATAATAAGCATTTAAAACACCTATGGACTCTCAAGTTGTATAAGGAATTAACTTAATAATGGGAAGAAAGGATTAGATAAAGAAGTTTACCGGTTAGATGCAATGTCATCTGCTATACTACACATAGTGAATACGTAGGTGTGTAGTTGGCGTTTAGTTTGAAGCCACAGAAATGGATTGAACTCTTTGCCTGTATATTTCTGCATGCCCAAAAACGCTGTGGCTTCCATTATCCCGCCACCAATAGTAACTCTTCTATATTTCAAATACTCATCCAATGTTGGGACTTCGCATTTGTATAATGTCCGATTGGACTCCATGAATACTCTACACATTTCTTTCACCTGATTAAGTGTACACACACATTACTTTAACACTTTGTATTCTATGGACTATAAATAAAATTAAACTTCACTTATTAGAAACTTTTCTTAAAAACTTCACTTATTAGAAAGAAGAGGAAAAGAGAGTACTAGTTATCGTTACCGAATTAGTAACATAAGAAAGAGCATCATCATAATATATTTGTTTGTCATTAGTCAATTCCTCATTGAGTTCATCAAAAATACTTAAGAGATCCATGTATAGACTTTTCATAGAATCTGGTACTCCATCAATGGCTTCAGTACTCCACATTTGGATTTGCCTTGTAAGGCACTCAAGCTCCATTGGTGTACCATATGAATCATATGTGTCATCTAGAACCAAGTAAATCATGAAAAGCTTGGTAGCAATTATCCGAGCACGCGAATAATAGGGCTCGTAGTGTTAAATATATCAATTATTTAATATATTTAATATTATATATTATAATTATGGTTGTTACCTATTATAGTTAGAGTTATTATTATATAATATTACCTTATATAATTAGTCATTAATGTGGAGGATTCTAGAATATATTCCTCCACATATAAATACATACTTTGTATTTTTCATCTATTATTCAATCAATAAAACGTTCTTTGTTATTTTACATGGTATCGGAGCCACCGTTCTTGGTGACCTAAATTTCTCCGCTTTCGCTTCTGGCGGGCGGCACCGCCATTAACCGCCGCCCGCCGGATCACTGTTTTCCTCTGATCCAAATTCTTCACCATCTCCTGAAACTACAAAGTTTTCTAGTTTTTTTGTTGCCCGACGACTTTAAAAAAAAAGAAGAAGTCTAAATCAATTCCTACTCCACCAAAGTATCGGCCTCTCCTGGCGCCAAGATCGCACCAGTTCACTCGAGAGTAACATGAGGCACAATTAGTGGGTAGATCGTCGGTCAACATGCATCTCCAGCAGTACCTCATTCCTTGTGTTCCTTATCTAACCCAGTCGCGCACGACTCCAACGCGCGTCAACCTTCTCCCTCTTTCGACAGCAGCAGCCTAGCATGAGTCTGTTCGCAGCGGCTTTTCTCCTCTCCTCATCAGGGCCTTCACATCTCTTTTATGGCAATCTTTCTTCTTCTATTCTAGGCCGGATGCTTCAGTCTACTCTAGCCGAAGATATGCCTCTAACTTCTGATTACAATTCTAGTCACGATTCAAGTAAAATTGGCGTTCAACCTTCACCGTCCAGGACGTTGGGAGCATGTTAAATATATCAATTATTTAATATATTTAATATTATATATTATAATTATGGTTGTTACCTATTATAGTTAGAGTTATTATTATATAATATTACCTTATATAATTAGTCCTTAATGTGGAGGATTCTAGAATATATTCCTCCACATATAAATACATACTTTGTATTCTTCTTCTATTATTCAATCAATAAAACGTTCTTTGTTATTTTACACATAGTAATCCGTGAGTGCTATCGCATACATTTCCACCAATCTCTTTCTTGCATAAGGATATTTTGATACATATTTTTCCCACCACCTACAAGCAAAATAACATTCTGAATTAGTCATTGATGTTTTTTTTATTTGTGAAAAGACTAAAAGCACATAAAGCCTTAACTCTTTTATACCAAAAATTGTGTGACAATGAATTTTGAACTTGTAACGACCACTTAGTAAGGATAAATTAAACTTGCCTCATGCATTCACAAATCTCTCGTCGGTACAGTTCTTGTAGCCTATTGTAATCCATCTTTGCAAGCCGTAGCATTTTTTCTTTTTATTCTTCACCACCATTCTTTGAGGAAGGAGGCTCTTGTTCATAAAATGTAATGAATTGGTTAACTCCATATCTTGGGATTTCTTTGTGGAGGGTAATTCTCAAGGCATTGGCTTTGTGGCTTCTAAGATGTGGTGGTGTGGATGACTCTAATAACGACTTGAGATGAAGCGTGGTGAAATGTAAGGCTTCATCAAGTATGTCTTCATTGGGGAGGCTTAAAAATGTAGCTTCGTACATGCTTAGCAATCCCCTTGCATCACTTGATGATAAGGTTTCCTTCAATGAACCATCTTCTCCCTTGAATTTTTCAAAAACATCTGGTGATGACAAAACATAAACAAATCACATTATATCACATCTAATAAGATATTAATTATCAAATTGGGAATCGTAAAATTTGAATGGTAAAGTACGTTAATAATTGGTCTAAGGAGTTATAACCATATAACTTCCAATGATAAGAATAGCTAGTATGAGTAAAGATTTTAAAAAACAAGAATTTTCTAAAAACCTTGCATTTTAAATGCATCAAAGAAACTTAACTTTTAAAGTCAAGTCATCGTATCAAAATTGGTTAATACATATGATATATTAAAACTCCGCTAGAATATGAATAGTCGTAGAGACATATGTTATTTGCAATATTACATATGCTAAATTCAAAAGGGAGCAAGTTAATCTCATGCAAATAAATTTGGCATAATCACATGATCCTTAATTAGCTAAACATGATCCTTAATTAGCTCCCATAGTTACATAATGTTACCCTATTAGATATATATTATATTCATATCAATTATTGTTAGGAAAAAAAATGAAGGTACTCATGCTAATAAAGATGTTACAAATTTATGTCTACAGGCGAGATCATATACCCCATGAATTTTCTGCACGAAGATAAGCATTGGTTGGTCTGGACAATGCAAAGTTCAAGAAGGTGTGGACTAGGTAGCGCAAATTATACCGTACATCCGGATGTACGTGAAGAACCGTACATCCGGAAACTAATTAGGGCAAACGCCACTGCAAGAACGGCCGACCATGAAGGAGAAGCAGGCTGCGCGATCGATCGGCGATTACTAGGCTGCGCGAAGGTCCAATCGGCGATTCACGATGAAGATGGAGATTGTTTGGAAGTCCGATCGGCAATTGAAGGATGAAGGTCTGATCAGGGACAGCCTGCTTGGATATGCGAAGTCGCGATTCCAGTTGCTCCCGATTTTTTCTTCCCGATTCCAGTTGCTCTTGTATTATATGATATGAAATGGCAGGTTGAGATTGAGTATAGGTTATATGGGAATAATATGGATATATAATAGGAAACAAATAATATTATTAATTACTTTCCAGCCTTTCCTTATTATATTACTTTTATCATTCTAAGTTTACTATGATTCAGAATCTCTCTTGTAACCTCTATATATAGAAATGAAACCTTTATTATTCAGTAACTCTAAGAAACATCAAATTATATCAAGATAACTCAACTCTAGAGGATAAACATACCACAAGACATTTCATAACCATGTTGGCGAAAGACTCGAAACACCATAGCCACAGTAAAGAGGTCATGACTGTGAAAAAGAGCCTTGGTAGCTTCACCACTTTCAAACATTTGATTCAGTAGAAATTCTATGTCTTCCTCAAAATGGTAGGAGAGTCCGAGTCGAGTAATTACGTCAATTACTCGGACAGTCTCTACAGGGTTTGATGATTCTGTTGTTGCCATTAACATATCATTCACATCCCTTTTACACAAATTTATCTCTCTATTGTATGATTCCAACTCCTGCATTGCATGCATTTTTTAAATTTCAGGGTCGTTAGTTTTTTTAAAAAATGCGATTATAATTCTTAAAAAACTAGTGATCTCCTTTGGCAATTTTAATCTTGGTCCTTTTTAGTGAACTCCTTTGGTATAGTATCATATCTTTTAATTTCCCAGTGTAATACCATTTGTACAATGTTCGCTGGACATTGTTCAAGTAAATATTCACTGCCATTGGATATTGTTCAAGTAAATGTCCATCGCCACTAGACATGTCACTAGACATTGTTCAAGTATGATTTAAGAAATAAAAAACTTTTAGGTACTACATTGAGAAAAAGACATACGAAGTATGTTTTAGTACTAGTTACTGCAATTTCACTATTTGGAATGATTTAAATTTTGAGCTACATTAATTTTTTGTCTCTTATATAAAATAGTATCTCCGTTCTTGAGTATTTGTCTAGTTTTGACTTTTTTCTATCAAGATAGAAAAACTTTGACAATTAATTAAATGAAATTGACATCAGATAGTAATACAAAAGTGATTTTATTAAATTTGTTTTACAATATTTTCAAAATATTTGTTTATCTAATTAATATACTAAACAATTTCTATTTAATTTGAGGTCAAAAATAAAAATGGTTGATTGCAAAAATGTAAAATTCGACAAATGCTCGGGACATATATATGTGGTATGTGTGTTGTACTTCGTAATTGTTTTTCTTTGAGAAAATAGCTAGGGAGAAAGACCAAAGTAAGACTAAAACATTGAAAATATACCAAAATAGGACTTTCATGTTTTTATTCCCGAAATAGGACTTAGAATGCATCTACATTATCAAACATGGTCATGTATATTACCAAAAAGTATAGTAATGTGCAAATGTACAGTGCCACATTACAACCACATTACCACAGTGTGAAGTCCTATTTCCGAAAAAAACGTAAAAAAAAATCCTATTTTTATACTTTTCTCTATATTTTAATCCTATTTAAAATGATTTCTAAAATAGTTATCTATATTTTGTATTCGATCACATTAAGCCTTGCGGTATTGCCGGTCTAGGCAATCCGTTGAAAAGAATTGGTCTAGTGTGCACTTTTTTGTAAAGGGTTTACGGATTGGCCTTAATTGGAGGAGCACGTAAATTAAGCTTTGCCATAAGAAAACTGGCAAGGATAATGCTAGTGTTAACCGATTAAACATATCTCATTTTGTACATTAGTGTTTTGTATTGACAAAAGAGTAATGTTAAAGTAACAAACAAAACATTCACAAAATTCAGAAACTTACCATTTATGTACTTTAGTGGGTTCAAATAATTAAAAATAAAAACTAAAGTACATAAAAAGTAAGTTTGTGAATTTTGTGAATATTTTGTTTGTGACTCTAGCATTATTCTTGACAAAATACCAATAACCACTAGCACATAATGCTAGTATGATTGATACTATTTTGTACTAGCATTCTGTGCTAGTGTATATCAGTATTTTGTCAATGCAAAACACTGGTGTACAAAATGAGATGTGTTTCATGGGTACCACTAGCAAAATCCAACTGGGAAAGAAGTAGGATGTACCTAGAGCTAGAGCAAAAACATCGTCAGCAAGTGCGTTCCGTGTAACATCGTAATTAAGCGAGTGCATACAATGCAATTCTTTTTCCTTTACCCCTACTTCTTTTCCTTTACCCCTTGTTTAATTTCATGAAGTGAGTACCTATTATCAACTGATAACATGTTTCTATGTACTTATTATAAGCTGACTTATAAGATGTTTATAATCCTGGAAAAATAAATAGGTTTTTTTTACTTATTTTTAAGTTAGATTTTGAGATATAATTAATATTCTCAAATGACTTGTCTATCATTTCATTCGTTTATTTTAACAAAAGAGAATTTGAGATATAAACAATTTATAAGCTAAAAATGGTTTGTCACCAATAAGTCATAAGCACCGGCATAGAGAAATACACTCGAAGGGAAGAAAATAAAGCAGTAAAATAAAAGGGTGTGGAAAACTGTAAATAACATTTATGGTCTTGTTTGGGAATAACGTTTTTGATAGCATTAGCGTTCCGAAAAAAATTAATTGTGTAAGTTAATTTTGAAAATGCTAACGTCAAAGGTTGCCGTCACATGTCCTTTTTCCTAACGCTAAACTCTAACGTTGATGTCAAACGAGACATACTTTTCCTCCTCTTGGTTAGAAAGGATGGTGGAAGAAAATTAAAAAAAATTCTTTGATTAAATTTACAAATATAACCTCTAACAAAAATAAAAGATATTCTACGCAATTAAACTAAGGGAGAAGTCCCTAGATAGGAATAAAAAGTAATGAAAATATAAAAGTAGTAGTCTTAAGTCTTTTAAGACAAAAATTGGAGTTTTCATTGTCATTGTTACACTGTCACACTCAGCACATTGTCAAATTGTAACTGTCACACTATTACCGCTACACTGTCATCCCTCAGCACTAACCCCCAAATGGTCTTCGCAGATCCTTGGCTGTTCACTAATCACACTAACATATTACACTGTCATCACTTTTTTACTACAGTACAAACATGTACTCGTACATCACACTGTCATTAGCCCATTACACTTCTATTTTGGTCTTTAAAGACTTTGGACTCCCATTTTGGTACTTACATCCGTTTTCACTCCTATTTAGAGAGATTTATTTTAAATAAAGGGTATAAAAGTAATTTTATGAAGCAGATTTTTCTCTTCCAATTTCCTCTCATTTTGAGATGAATAGTGAAGTAAGAAAATAACATTAGAGAAAATGAGAAACTATCTCAAATAACTTTATATTTTAGGATTTTAACTAAAATAAAAGTTATCTCACCTTTTTGTGGTATACCAAAAAATAATCGCACCAAAATTGTAGTTAGGTTCAAGTTAACTTTTTAAAAACTCTTATCAATTCGAGACAAATTCATCTTTTTTAATAAAAAAAAGTTTTGTATATTTACTTCA